CCAGATTGATAGACCGTCAGGAACCAAGGCTTTTTGCGCCAGCTGGTGGCTACGTGACTAATTCAACTCCATGGCTGCTCAACAGGACGAAAAGCGGCGTAGATGACCTCAGACCAAATGCTGTTGAGAAATGACCAGTGCTCAGTATAAAGTTGTAAAATATCTCAATTTGACCACTACATCCTGTGTCTAGACAAAGTGTGCCACCCAACGGGCCTCTGAAGAACAGATGACCCGTACTACAGTGTTGAAATCTTCGGTCACTATGAGAATAGCTGGACTGTTCCTGATGGATGACAAAAAGCGCCTTTCTAGACACAAGGAGAAACTAGCAACAAAGGAGCTAGTACACTGCTATTCGTCCGTGAAGTGAAAAGGCCTGCGTCACAGATGGCTGTTCGCGGAGTACGGAAACCTTACCTCGGGAATCGGGAGCTACATCGACTTAGCCTCTCAATACCTGCGCGGTGAGCGTCAACCTCGAGTCAGCTACCAAGATGGACTTCCTCAGGACTTAGTCGGTTAAAATGAGCATTCATACCAATGGCCAGAGTCATAACATCGGCACTTCTCACTGGCTGGAGTAATCGTGAAAAATGATGATAGAAGCTGTCATTCTCAGCCTCAGAGCTGCCGTTTATGGGACACAAACAAACACTGTTCACCACATCGAACTAGTCAACTAAACCGTGCAAAGACGACTGTTTGCTGGAATCCAATCCAGTAAGGTGCATTCAGCACAATCCACACACCCCAGTACACCAGATACCCGATGCGTAAAGGACCAAGAATCCGGGCTGGTACTAAGTGGTTCCAGGTTATGATCGAAGTGGACACTTGCACGCGTATTTCCGAGACACAAAACACATTGACCGAAAGAGTAAACCTATCTGTTGGCCAATCTGACAGAGTGGGGACGTTGGAAGCACCAGTTTGCAACAGACCAATTGAAGTTACTAAGGGCTTACGATTTACTTTTGGTATGCGGGTTAGTCAGTGGACGAAGAGTCGACGGCTGAATGATACTTCCCGGTTGACCAGGCCGAAGAAGGCCTGATGAATTTATGTAGGTCTTTGTTCGAGAACCCTTCCCGTAACCTAACAAAAAAGTTCGAATCGTAAGGCAGCGATTGTTATGATTTTCTTGAGTCATCATCATCATCATCATCAAAGACAGCAACATCAGTGTTGGCAGTGATGCTTCACTGGCGTTAAGCATAAGGTTTGTCTNTCTTTTTCTCTTCTCTTCACTGTAGGGCTTTTAATACAATTATATATATATATATATATATATATATATATAATTGTATTAAAAGCCCTACAGTGAAGAGAAGAGAAAAAGAGTGAGTGAGGGAGGGGACCTAGTGCTGGCCTATGTCAAGCATACTGAGGTGCCCACACCTCCAACCGCTCAGTCAGACAATCTGAAAAGAAACTGACAGATTGTCTGATTGAGCGGTTGGAGGTGTAGGTACCTCAGTATGTTTGACATAGGCCAGCACCCTTCCCGGAGCCGACGACCCAATTATCTAACCTACTTGGCTGCAGGGGGCTGGCCAGAACCGAGGGCGCAGAGAGTAAAGCATAACCGTTTGACTCCTAATACGGGTGCGCACAGAGAATGCTTTCTGAGCAGCATCAGACTCTTCGGTTTTGAGTTTTAAAGAGAACGGTGGGCGGAAGGCACCTAACGGTTACGTGAAGATACCGTAAGTTCAATAACCACACTCGGACCTTGTACTGGGGTTCCCGGCGTGGATTGAGCGCTTATCAATAAAGTAACAAGAGTGCGCGCAAGAGCAGCTTGTTGGCCAACTCGACTACAACAAAATCAGTGAATGGGGTCTGATTAATGAAAGTGGAGTGTTGGGTGCGAGTGGCGGTGAGCCATTGGTCACTTCCTTTGGTGCTTAGATGAGATGCCTACAGCTGTGCCCTACGAGAGCGACTCCAAATGTGATGGGAGGGGATTTAAGAGTAATTGAAAAGATGGGAGGCGTCAGCAGTCGCATGTCTTCGCCTATCCGCCCTGCTGTAGGAAGTAAATAAGGCGACCGGCTGACACCAGCTACTGCCGATGCGGCATAAAGGTACATTTGGCTGTACAATTCACGGTTGTATGCTGTCGTTAAGCACAAGTAGTCAGGGGAAATTCACGTCCTCCTTCGGGTTGACCAACCGACGTCGTGGTGAGTCTTAACCGTACTGGTATCCGAAAAGTGATTCGAATCAAGAACAGAATAATTTGTCAACCTTCGAAACCCATTGCGCCTCTGCAATAATAACCAAGGTCATATTGCATGCTCGAGATAGCTCAGTCGTTAAGGCACCAGCTTATGGACCGGAAGGTACGTGGTTCGCTTCTCGACTGCTCCCCTCTAGGCTTGGGCATTCTGGCAGTACACCAGCCCTCGTGCCTTCTTTCGCTAGCATGGTAGATAGACACAGAAAGGGCAATATCGCTGAACGATGCTGCATGAGGTAGTCTTTGGAAAAAACCATGGTTAGAAACTTTGACTGTCAGTTTCTCTAAACGATCTGACGGAAATAACAGATCCGTCGGAAAAGGCCTAGAGGAGATTCGACCATCGTTGCGAATTCTTAGTATTCTGCGACTTATACGGAATCCTCACCGCAACCATTCAGGAACCTCGAAAACTCAATCAACTTTGATCCCATCTTAATTGTGCAACATTCAACCTGGGTGCAACACAATTCAGAAGTCTTTAAAGATCTTCAAAAACAGCATGGAATCATAAAGATACCGATTACAGCAACAACAGATGATTCAAAACAATGAAGGCTAGCTCTGTACAGCACATTTTCCTACAAGGAACTCTTCCCAGAGGAAAGAAAGGCCGTGAGTCCGGAAGCCAGAAGCATAGAGATGAAATAGTTACTAAGGCGGTTGGTTAAGGAAAGCGAAATGCATTAGTAGTGGTATTCTAGCGACGCACAGGGATGATCATAGCGGACATGCAGTCAGCATTTTCAAGACCGAATTTCTAAATGCCACATCTGCCCCTAACTGGTCAAATGTACGATAATACGGGTAAACCTGGTCGAATTCAGTAGTGCAGCCCATTGAACACCTAGTAAATGGCGGTCACTAAATCGTCCATCGGCTTATTTAAGTTGAAGGCGATCCGCTTAGTGAAAAATAGAGCAGGCTCCGCGATAGACAGCACCCAACTTCCGCCGAACTATGCAAGCTACAAGGCAAACTCAAAAACGCGTGAGGACGACGGCGCGGATTTCGTCTAACTGAGGAGTATGAGGCTAATCTTACAAATCTGTTTGTACATAAGGTGCACCAAAACTAGAAACAGCGTTTCTGGCTTGTAATTCCATAAGGACATTAGGCAACCTCATTTCTCTCAGTGCCCAGTTGCCATTATACTCTGTGGGATATTGGAGTCGTTCTATGGTGTTCCGACCTGTCTGTAAATTGGATGCAGATCCTTCAATGGGAGGCAATGGATCGGAGGCTGAGTAGGAGGCCCTATCTATCAGTCATGTCATTCTGCTTTCCGAAAAAAGGCGTCTCGCATCCGGTTGAATAGACACTTCAAAGTTTGGTAGAAAATAAGCGGCAAAACTTTTTTGAGCTGTAGCCTGATCTACCCAGTCACATGCAGGGTCTTCAGTGGGCCTTTCAAATCCTCCCCATCAGTATAGCCTCCGAAAGGCGCACTACAGCAAGGATAAAAATGAAAATGTTAAATGGATGTTCTTTCTCAACTACAGCATAGCTTATAAAATTAGAAAACCGGCATCACAGTGATTGCACCTTTACTCTAATTCCTCCGCGCTTGCTTGCATTGCGAGTGGCATCTGAGGATTTTCTCAGCTGAATTCAGTGTCTTTGACGACAGGCAGTACCAGAAAGACTGATCCAATGCGATGGACCTAGGTTATGTAGCTGGTTCGTCAAACATTTATGAATCGAAAAAGCTCCTCAATTCTGCTATGTTATTATCCTTGTCGGTGTCCACCAAATGGGCAGTTTCTTGCACAGAAATGTCGCAGAACCGTGGTGTATCAACATCGACAGCATGCAATCAGTGTTCAACACCGATGCTTCGCTGCCACAGTGTTGTATCGGTGTCTCCTATATCATTCTGTTGACAGCAATAGCTTTGCTCCGGATGCTTTCTGAGACGGTCCAACTCCTGTTCGCCTCCCATCGCCGTGTGGTTCTTGAGTACACCCAATGAGCCGCCCATCTCACCACAAAGCTGGAACGTATACGGTGTTCTAAGAACGCGTCCGAAAATTCCATTCAAAAGAGGCTCACATCATCATTGTAAACAGATTCTAAGATGGGATTAGCGGAGGGAATCTTCTAGTATTGCAATTAAGAGTATAAGGTGAAAGTTCCCCAACTTTGTCTTGGCATCGTTTTATCCACTTGGGCATCGGACACTTGGAAAAGATTCCCCGAACTAAGCGGCCTTCAAACGCCTACCAGAATGCCATTTGTTAAACAATAAGTCATCATCGGTAACATCAACATCTACCATATGCTAACAACCCCGGAACAACTCTGTGATGCTGCAGATAGTCCATCTCCGGCTAACATCGAGTGATTTGTTTTTTCCACCAATCTAGGTGAAGCGTTTGCAATCCAACTGCCAAGCTCAGCGACAGACCAGAAACCAAGCAGTGCACCCGAGCTATTTATATTCCACCACATTGTCAAGTCCCACACTGTCCCCATTTCAGATCTAGTGGTCATTCTCACTCTGTCCAAGCGGGCTTTAACAGCACTGCAGCGAGCTTCCCAACCCCCACATCTTAAACACGCTTCGAGCGAAATTGTGTTCAGAGCCTTAAGTATTTCTGTGTTTCTCCTTACAGTTTTCTCCCTCCACAATTAATGGGAAAGGCCGTCATTGATATTTAGTTTATACCAAATGTCCTAAACGCTGCATTCGACGGAAAACTCGCGTACGTCTGACTTACCGGTTAAACAATAAGTGTCTGTAAAAAGGATACACATGTGCTGAAAAGTGTTGCAGCACCATTGATGACGCCAGGAGGATCAGCAGGTACACGCAATTGTTGAAGAAGATGGAATATGTTGTCGATTCGTAGTCCGCAACTTCTCTTGTTCTTTCACGGACTCTAACGGAATAGCACACAAATACCATAAACTTACGCATCGTCACGTTCCTTGCGAGTAAGCTTTTTATCCTTCCCTGTTTCTGCCGCAAGCTCCTTACTTATGCTCTCACTCCTTTTGGCTGCGACACTAGGACAAACTATACAATATCAAGCATAAGGACAAACCGTTCCATAAGAGGCGCTTTTGCGCCGGTATATGCATATGACATGAGGAATGCGCAAGCAGTTGACACGATCACATAGAGTATGGAGTTAGCCACGAGTGCAAGCCCATGGATACGCCAAAACAGCCCTGCAACTCCAAAAAGTGAAAAATATCAGCCGTACATATTGGAATAAGGGAAATAAGAATTGCGTTTCCATAAATCAAGTGGTCGGATTTCTTAGAGGCTGCGCGACTATACATCTCAAGCAAAAGCTCATCCTCCTTCGTTATTTTAACAGCCATGTCGAGAACCTTAAACGCCGCGCCAGGACACGCGGCCAGCAGGTGGCCAATCGAGCGTGTTCAGATAGTTTAATGGTTATACTAGAGGACCGGAATTGTCTAGGTGGTGACGATTGGTGCTCGATACTGCTCAAGGTGTGCAAATTACCGGCCGAAATTGTGGAAAACTGAGGCGACAGGGCGAACTGAACACTGAAACGGGACTCTTGAA